ATGCATTGATTCAAATTCACTAAAATGGTATGTAGCTAGTTCAAAGTGTTTTACAGTACTTTATGGTTTCTTCGATTATAACTCGTTATTTGTAGGGAAAGTGAATTGTAAACAAAATTGGATAAAACTCCCTTCACAAATTTCCTTTGGTTTAGCAACACTAGGCTTGCTTTCAGTTTATTCAACAACTATTTAATTTGTTTACTTTTTCATACACATTTTTTTGATCAACATGTTTGTATTTTGTAAACTATTTCTGGTATTTTCTTATTGAACTTCGAGCTGTGTGAAATGTACCATACCAGAACCATACTGTGTTGTAATATGAACTTCAGTAGGTTAGGGTCAACCCCAACAGTGTGTGTATGTCATGTGATATGCATGCATACAAGTTAAAGGCTTGTTTTGTAATACAAGTGACCATCAAGGACATGCAAAATAAAATTTTTGTTGCATGGCTGGTGGTTAATTGATAATCATTTTAATAACATGTTTTTTGATCAGTCAGTGATAAAAATGAAAACCTTGTATACCATGTAGCCGTCATTGCAGGGAATGTATATTAACAAATGAAAACCCAGATTTTTGCAAAAATAGTTTGAAAATGAAAACAAAGGCTAATTAAATGCTTTTAATTTTGATAGTATGTTGAAATAATGTAAATTTCTGCCCAATGTTTATCGTCTTGTTGAAAAGTTCATGATTTTTGCCGACAATGCAAACATGGCTTTGATTGACGGTGTTACCATGACCACCAAAATTAATATTCATTGAAACTCATTGCAAGAAGGTGTGAACTTTGCAAATTTGCAGTATTGATCTTGCCGACGAGACATGCACTATTCTGTCAGGCGTTAGTGGGGTCTGATGTCGTTCGTCCGACGAGGGCGCCACTCACGCCATCTTGTTAGGCTAATTTGATAGCTATTAAAATGAAAAATGGTCTTCAACATTTCCTATTTATTACGCTGTATATTCCTAGAGCAATTGACTGATACCATATTTTGTATTAGGATTTGTGTTTCGCTTTTTTGTTTCTGATTTTGAAAGTTGCTTGTCACTAGCACATGTCCCCTCTTTTTCTGCTGGTGTGATTATCTATGACACTGATTTATTATCAGTCACTCCGAGTTGTTGGGATTGCTTTGTTGCGTGTAATATCCATGAATAAGACAATTCTTGATATGTGTCACTTGCAGTATGTGATTATAGTAAAGATGTTTTCATCACTGGTATTTTTACTGAAGCTATACATGTAAATCTGTGGAAAATATTTTTTCCTACTGATTTGTATTTAATTTATATCTATTTGAAAATAAATCAATTTATGATTTTCAGCAAAAAATAAACTCCAACTAAAATAAACTAATTCAAATTCCAAATAAATATATTATTGTTGCACTTAAATACCAATATTATGAATGGAGGGTTACCAGACACCCACGCAAATTACATATTGGGATGAAACATTGAACATTTTGCGAAATTTACAGTGTTTCATACAATCAATGTTACATAATAGTTCAAAGCGCCAATAAATAAATAAATGATCTTTGAGTGATCTATTCCCCAATATATTTGCACAAGAAATCAGAAAACCATGGAATAATATGGTTAATTTTTTATTCTCCACATAATGCTGTATACAGATTTTCACTTGAGTAACCATTAATGAATTATTAACTGGCCAGGATCTGAAAGATTACAAATTCTTGTTTTTTGTTCTTCACAGGTGGCGGTGGATGGACAGCGGAAATTGCAGACAGTGAGCAGTATTTGACGATTGATCTGAAACAACAGACTGAGATCACTGCCGTAGCAACACAGGGAAGATATGGCAGTACGGAATGGGTCACACAATACAGGCTGCAGTATAGTGACAATGGTGACAAATGGTCTGATTACACAGAAGGGGGATCAAAAAAGGTAAGTGATATCACCAGTTTAAGTAGAGATTTGGGTATTTAGGAAACAAAACTTTCAGATTTCTAAAAATATCAATGATTATCTATGAAAACCTAACAACTTTCTCAAAATGTGTTTATAATTACCTATTTGAGAAATCCCAGATAGGTTTTTATTCAAAAATGGAATTGTGACCATCCATACAATCACTGAAATCATTAACTCATTAAAATTTACGATTTACAAAAAATGGTCTACATCGTGAATCACTGTAAACCGTTTAATCAGTGTTCTCCCCAGACTTCATGTCAAGCATCACGGTCAATTTGCATAACAATACATCTAATTTGCATAATTATATTTGCATAATACTAGTAATCAGTTTTTCCCAACCAATTTGGTCAATCTACTAATACAATTAATTATACAATTAAGACAGATATTTTTATATTTGATAAATTTTATATCATTTTACTGCATTGTATTTTATGTTTTT